GGGGAAGGAAAAGTGGATTTTTCCTAGCAATGCTGGGATGCACTTTTCTAGCCCAGAGACATTATTCTGGATGTCAGTAGCTGGTGTTAGCCTTGCAAAGCAACTGCCCTTTCAGTGCTTCTCTGCGGGCGATCCGATGCCCACGGAGGGCTGGCCTTGCCCACTCCTGTCTCTGCTTGTCAAAGCTGGCAGGTGCTTTAAAGGAGTAGAGATTTCTGGAGTCCACTAGCTGTCCATCAGAAAGAATTGCTTTTAATGGACCTGAGCTCTCAGGGGGTCAATTTTTACTCCAGTTGCAATGTTCTCTCTCCCCCTCTTCCTTCTCTTAGAACATAAAATCATAGGCTCGGAAGGGACCTCGGAGGTCCTCTAGTCCAACCCACTGCTCAAGCAGGAAATCCTATACCATTCCAGACAAAACGTTGTGCAGTCTCTTCTTAAAAACCTCCAGGGATGGAGCACCCACCACTTCTGGAGGCAGGTCGTTCCACTGGTTAATTGTTCTCACTGTCAGGAAATTTCTCCTTAATTCCAGGCTGCTTCTCTCTTTCCTAATTTTCCAGGAATTTCTCCTTGTCCCATCTTCAGGTGCTTTGGAGAATAAGCTGACCCCCTTTTTCAGATATGACTCATATTTATGACGGTCACAGCCCTCTTTTATGTTTTTAGGGCCACCCCATCCTTCCACCAGACCACAGAACCAGCATCAAAGCACCATTTTAAATCTGACCAGCTCCTTCCTTCCCTCTCTTTAGAATCTTGCAGCAATATATATTCTCAATTTTTCCTGTCTCGGAAACAGGAAAAGCAGCTGAAAGCTAATCAATCACTTAGCGTGCCTCTGGAGAAGACCAAATGACAAAAAATTGTGAAGAACAGGACCCTTGACTAAGTAAACAGAGGTGAGGATGGAATGATTAGAAATTTGATCATTGCTGCCTCAAACTGGGTTAAGCTCTAAGAGAGATACCACCTGTTGCCCATTTTTTTTTGTCCAAAGGAGCTAATACAGTCCCAGCTTTGTAAATTCAGCAGATCTGAAGATTGGAAAGGGTTCCACAATTTCATTACAGAAATTTCATGAAACGTTATTAAAGCTTTTGCCGAAGAGAGAACTGCTGAGCAATTTTTACATCGTCTCCCATCCCGGGAATGCAGGGCTAACCCACCACGCCTGCCCCTTTAACATGTGGTTGGGAAGGTGAGGCTAGATTTAAACTGCTGGCCCAACTTAGGCAACTAATAACCAAGAGATGGAAGGGCTAAATTTTGCAGAGAAAGTATGAAAGCTGGCTGGGTGACTTTGGGCCGATCACCAGGAGACGGTGAGTTCTAGTCCCGCCTTAGCCATGAAAGCTGGCTGGGTGACTTTGAGCCAATTCCTCTCTTTCAGCCTAACCCACCTCACAACGTTGTTGTGCAGAAAACAGGAGGCAGGAGTATTAGGTACGTTCACCGCTTTGAATTATCCTATAATGTAATAAAGATGGGATAAAAATCTAATAAATAACAAAAAAGGTGAGTGGGCACAGGCAGGTAAACCCAGAGACGCATCAACAAAAGAGATAATGAAAAAAGACGGTTTTGTTCACGAACTTTCAAAATAAAGGATGATGCAGGTAATTGAATTTGCAAATGCCCAACTTGGCCTGGGCAGGGCAGCAGTATTTGCAAATTCAATGCTATTTTTGTGTGTGTGTTTTGGGGTTGGCGAATCAGCATTACTTGGGCTCCCCTTCATTTCTCTCCTTAGAAGCCCACTGGGAGAGATAGAGGCCAGGCATGACTGACTCTCTATTTGGCTGCCTAACATTATTTTAATTAAAAAAAAAAGTTAGAGAGGGATAAAAGACACAGATGAAAGAAAGCCTCACCATTAAACCGAGTTTTGGATTAAGTCACGCAACAAGCCTGTCGATAATCTAAACAATAAGGTTGGATCTGCACAACGCGGAAGTCAATCGATGGCTACCATCAACCATGGTTAGCATGTTGTGCAAATGCACTGGCTGATTTTTATTGCATTAAGCGACGGGTGTGATCCTGGCTTCCTACACTGAGAATGTGAAAAGTCTTTCTTTTTTGCTAGATGTCATTGGTTTAGTTTCATGGATGGATCAGAAGAGGATGGGATAACTGTGATTGCCCAGGAAGCAGAAATTCAGCCATCGTTTCAGCAGAAGATATAAAACAGGGCTTGTTCGCTGAAGCCCGTGTTGACAAGAAGGCCCCAGGAATTGTCCAAAGTGGCCATCGAGTTGTAATGTTTAGAAACTCAGAAAGAACAAAGTCTGAAACTGTGTGAATGGGTCAGTTAGGATTCAGGTGCCACCCCTTCTCTTAAGATCTCCCAGCAAAGGGGGAGAAGAGGAAGAGAGGGGAAGGAAAAGGAGGGGAAGGGGAGGGAGGGCAGGAGCAGGAGGGAGGAGGAGAAGGAAGAGAAGGAGAAGAATGTAGATTTTTTTCCCCCAACAACAAAGCAACAAAGCTACTTAGGGGCAACCTGTCCATAAGGCCACTTTTCAAAAGGCAGAAACATCCTCACAACCTGCGCTGCAGCCTCAGTTTCCCTCTCTTGCCCGACTTCAAAGAATTACCTCTGCACCGAGTCAGCTGGAATGGAAAAGCTGCAGGAAACTTTATCGACTTTCCTGGGCCTTCTTATTTCTAATTTCTTCTTTCCCCACCCCCCCCACCCCCAAGTGTTCAGAGCCTTCACAAATACTCACCCTGTCAATTTTCTATCGAGCTGTGGCCAACAGATGTTTGCAAACTGGACTCAGTTCGAAAAGAAACAGGCTAATTGGCCAGTTTCAAATCTCCAGCTGACTTCTCTTAGCCGTGGAGAGAGCAGCGCAATAAACAAAGATTTTGCCAAGATTCATGGTGCACTAGTTTAATTAAGACTCCTTGGGGCTTGGGAGGAGGGGTGAGAGGGAAAATGGGATTGGATCCTTGCCTTGAGCCAAGAATACAGCCCACGTTGCCTCCATGCCATGACTTCTTAATCAAGGGGCAAATATTGAAAGCGTAACGCGTCATCACGTCACTGAAGATTGGCCCTTGTCTTAATAAGAAAATCCTTGGAGCATCTGGAGATGGGAAATATTTCAGTGGTTTGCTGGCTGGTGGGGGAAACAAATGGGCAGGAAATACTGATTTCAAGAGGGTGGTTGAGTTAGGGTTTGGTCCCACCCATTCTATTAGACGACACCATGAAAGGAGGAGGAGGGGGGAAAGAAAGAAAGAAAGAAAGAAAGACGAGGGAGGAAGGAAGAAAGGAAGGAAGGAGAGGAAGGAGAAGGAAAGAGAAGGAAAAGCAAGAAGAGGGAGGTGAAGAAAGGAAAAAGGAAGAGAACGAGAAGGAAGGAGGAGGGAAAGGAGAAGGAAGGAAAGAAAGAGAAGAAAAAGAAGGGAAGGATGGAGAAAGAAAGAAAAGTAGGAGGGAAAAAGGGAGGAGGAGGAGGAGAAGAAGCCTCAAAATCCTCTTTTTCCTTCCAAGATGGAAATGAAGTTTAGAAAACCCTGTCAACCCCCCCCTGCCCCCCCCCACTACTAAACTGGGTCACTGGGAAACACCTGAATGGCACAGTCAAGCCTTCTTAGTTGGGAACCAGCAAACTGGGTTAGACAGTTGTGAACATCGCTTATATGTTTGAATCGGGCTGGTTTTTTCTACTGTATTCCCCCCACCCCCGTGGTTGAGGCCATCCTCAGAACAGTTCGCCTTTCAAGGAATGTCGCAATCCGTCTAATTCCAATTGTGTTCCTAAGTTGAGGACCCCTTGTAAATCAGGCAGCACAAGGCTGCCGAGGGGATGTTGGCTAATTGTTGTTTTTATGATCACCGGCTGGTGAAAGAGAAATCAAGGCTTATTAAAAAAGAAAAGAAAAAGGCTGTTTTTCAAGCTAGCTTCAGCCAGAGGCTCCTTCATGCACAAAATGACTGCGGGAATTCAAGATGAGGAGAAAAATAAATTTGGTTGGCTCTGTGACTGCGTCAACTTCGAACAATACTGTTAATGGAGAGGACAATTTTTTTTCCCTTATGGCCTCTTCTTCTCCCTACCCTGCCCTCAACTCTTAGTCTTCCAGAAACAAGGGACAAAAACTAGGTATTATACAAAACAAAAACAAAAAACAGAACAATGCAGGTATCCATCCATCCATCTATTCCTTTTTTAAATGTCATTCTAGTTTCCCCCACATTTTTTTTTAGAACATGGGACAATGTTGGAAGGGACCTTGGTGGTCTTCTAGTCCAAAACCCTGCTCAGCAGGAAACCCTAGGCCATTCTGGACCAATGAATATCCAGTTTCTTCTTAAAACGTCCAGTGATGGAACACCTACAACTTCCAGAGGTAACTCGTTCCACCGATTAATTATTCTCACTGTCAGGAAATTTCTCCTTAGTTCCAGGTTGCTTCTCTCCTTGATAATTTTCCATCTGTTGCTTCCTGTCCTGTCTTCAGATGCTTTGGAAATCAGTCAATCCCCTCTTTTTCTGTGACAACCTCTCAAATATTAGAAGACAGGTGTATCATGTCCCCTCCACCAGTCCTTCCCTTCCTTAGACTAGACCAGGAGTCCTCAACCTTGGCAACAAGCCAAACTGGCTGAGGAATTCTGGGAGTTGAAGTCCACAAGTCTTAAAGTTGCCAGGGTTGAGGACCCCCTAGACTAGACACATCTAGTTCCCTCAACTGTTCATCGTACAGCTTAGGTTCCAGACCCTTTATCACCCCTATGTTGTGTTCATAGTCTAACATGTAACGTCCTGACCATATCGCAGTCTACAGACCCAGGAACAGGCCTTGTTGATCTGGGTTTAGTTTTCTCTAAACCGTGTTTGCAGAAGGCTCCCAGCTCTCTGCCAGTCTGCTTCAACAAGTTTTTAAATTCTCATCAATTCGCTTCACCCTTGACAAATGCCAGGCTATCAGTCTGAGGCCCCAGTGTGGGTCCGTCTGAATGCAAGAAAGTCAGCTTGCTACAGACCTTCTTTCTTCTTTTCTTGAACATCAATTTATTTAAAATAAAAAAAAAAATCCAAAGACTAAGAAATACCATCTTGAATCCTTTGAAAGAACACACGTAAAGTGGAGGAAGAGAAAGAGGAGAAGGAAAATGGGTGAAAAGATTTTTTAAAAGTCCTGGATTTGGCAAACATAAGCTAGAGATGAAGGGGGGGGAATCCCTCCCCTGTTGAGTATTATAGAAATTACGAAAAAGAGTTGTAGCTATTTACACATCTGAAGACAGAGTGGGGTCTACAAAAGGTGTAATACTGAGATATGAACATAGTCTATATTACAAGGAGAGAGACTATTCACAAAAGTATTTGTACCCTCTGTATCCAACTCACTCTGAATTTGGGGGTATCTTCCCCTTCACCTCCATTCTTTCAAAGCTTAAATCACAGTTTCATTTTTTTTCCCCGTTAGGCTCGGCACAAGACACAAGGGCAGCCTGGTAAACTGAGTATGCCAGCAAAGACTGCATCCACATTTGTGTAACCATCGCTTGTGGGGGGTAAAAATAATAATTAAAAAGGTTTACGGGTGGAGATGCTCGGGGTAAGGGAGACAGTGAATCAAATAACCCCAAAAGATGCTTCAGTTGGTCCTCATAAGAGCCCTGCCTAATTTCAGACTGAAGGCTGCAGCGTACAAGAGGGAGACACAAATGCTAGAGGGAGAATGGGGTGGAGAATGCGTCCATGCGCGTAGGAGAAGGAGTGGCAGAACTTGGGGGGGGTTAGAGTGAAAAGAGGCATCAGCTTAGAATCCCTATGTAGCCACAAACTAACTAGGTCCCACTTCCCTTGAATTTCACTAACCCTTATCTAACTCCTAGCAGGTGCTGATCTCTAGCTAAGATTCCTACGCAGAGGCTTTCAGCAATAGAGTAGCTTAATTGAACCTTCACGTGTGAACCTGATCTTTCGCACCTGACAATGTGCAAAGAGGGCTAAGTAGGAAGCAACCCAGAGAGATTCCTGCAATCAATTTGGTCTTGACAAGTGGTGTTCCACTTTCCACACAAAGCTCACCCTACAAGCAAACAAGCATTAGTTAGAATGTCCCAAAGGATGCAACATTAAGACAAGTTAAGCTTCACCAGACTTGGACATCCCAGAGTTAAGAATGAGATGGAGGGAAAATCCCGATGAGAGAGATGGAATGGGGGCGGGTAGGTGTGTGGGGAGGGGTTCTTGTTTCACAAGGTGGCTTGTGAGGAGCAGAGGATGAGCATATCCTGAGGGTGAGAGCAATCCAATCAAAGCAACATCTGGAATGCTCAAAGTCAATGGTTTTGGACAACCCCAGAGGATCACTAAGATACAATCCACATGGCTAAGTCTGTGTGTTGTCTCTTTGAGGGATGGGGTCCATTGTTCTGTCCCGGGAACCAAAATGTCTTGGGTCAGCTCTATCTAAAGATTACCTCTCCACTTCTGCTACCTCTGAACAATATCGCTGATTTCTTTGACCGAGCTGAGCAACTTGCTAAAATCTGGGGTGGTGGCAGGACCTCCACCAGCCGTGGCAGGGCAGATCTGAAGCTCCCGGAGATTGTTCTCCAGTTTGTTGATGGCCTCTCGGAAAGCAAACTTATTCCGCATCTGCTGGATTGAGTCCACATAGCTGACGCAGAAGGTGTACAGGTTTTTGCCCGCTTCCAGGACGGCACTATGGCTGACCATCTGTTCGGAGTTTTTGCTGATGGCATTCCGCAGAGTCTCAGAGCTCTCCAGGACTGTTCCCTTCGTGACGGTACCACTTGCTATCTTCTCCGGAGGTAGGCGGGTCTTCCTCAGGGAGACCCGAGTGGAGATGAGAGGGATGAAGGCTGTGGAGGTGGGCTGGTCTGCAGCCAGAGCGGACGAGATGGTGGGGGGTGACGGAGAAGGGGAACCGGCCATCAAGAGCAATTTGGCGGATGAGGGAGACTTTGGTACGGAGGACATCAATGCTTTTTTGCTTCCTTCTGTGGACAAACTGGACTTGGGAGTCTCAGCATTTACGGGGGGCTCTGCAGCCACTACTGTCTGCTTGCCCTTGGCCAGGGACCCTTCAGGTCCTTCATGGCTGGGCCCAAGACCCCCTTTGCTATTTTTGCTCGAGTTCAAGACTGGAGGAGGTGGGGCAGGTTTGAGCTTCGACAGCTTCCCTTTTTCCTTCTCTGGAGCTGGCTTCATCTTGCGTAGACGGGACTCCTCGGCCAGAGCTTTGCCAACAAAGAAGCCCAGGGTGGCTTTGCCCATTGTGGTCTGCTCAATCGATGGACCCCCACAAGCAGAAGGGAGCAAAGGCTGCCTCCGGCTGAGTTTAGGGGTGAGAGTGGGCGGACTGGAGCCCGGGCTGCTCACAGCCTCTTTGGAAGTCTCTTCCAGCATCTCCTCATTCTTCTTCAGCAACCGAGGACCCGAGGTGATCATTCCCCGGTTGATTGGATCAGCCTTTGCCTCGCTGGCTCGTTTCCGAGGCAGGGCGGGCTTTTCGCTCTTGTGGCCCCCAAAAGTTGACGAGTCAAACTGGTGCCCCATGGACTGTGGGTTCCGAGGGAGGGTGACCGACTTCCACTCGGTGTCCCTGCCCCCATGGGGCACACAAGAGGCAGAGCAGGAGCGCAAGAAACGCTTGCTGGAGATCATGCCGCCATCCTCTTCGCCGGGACACGGGCGATTATTGGCCGAGGACCCCGATTTTTTCCAAACATTTGGGGTCAACAAATTGGAATTCCCAGTCCCATTGGCCACTCCAGCTGCCTCGTTGCTGGCATTGGGGAACCTGGACCGGTCCTCTAGATCAGCAGGCTGTGTGAGCAAGACCCCGTTGCTGCTATCTTTGGTCTCGTCCTCTCCGACTCCTTTATGCTCCAGGTGGCCCTCCACTTCCCGGAATGAACTGCTCCGCTTTGGAGGGGTGGGGGCCGTTTTCTTTTTCTTCTTGATCAGAGCACTGAAAAGATTGGTCTTTTTGTCTTTCGGGAGCAAACGGTCATCTTCATTTAAATTCCCATCAGCAACAGCCCTTTCCTTCCGCGGCAGTACAGGGGACACTGCCGGCTCGTGTTCTGCGCTTTCTGCAAAATAAAAACAGATAGATTTTGACGCAAGATGTTGTGAAACATCCAGCCAGACAGGGAAGGGGTATCAAGTAGGGAATTAGCCTTGAATCATTGCATAGTCACAAAAAATCCGAGACAGACCCCTGGAACCTTAACTATCTATTCTCAATCAGCCTGGGGAGATTCCTACAGAGGTAGTCCATGGTTGCAATGTGTGAAAAATGGCCGTAAGTCATTTATACAGCGCTGTTGCGACTTCAAACGGTCACAAAATGAACTGCTGTTAAGTCGAGGACAGCCTGCATGATAGGCAGAATGCACTAAAGTAGTTATCTTGAAACCTACAGTTGTGGATCTGATCACTTGCCCTTAACCCAACCCCTTAAGCCAGTATTTCTGAATGTTGGCTATTTTAAGATGTGTGGACTTCAACTCCCAGAATTCCCCAGCTGTCGAGGTCATCCATCAGCTGCCCACCCTTCAGACAGTATCCCATTATGGTACAGAAGAATTGAACGGACCACTTTCTGCCGGGCCCTTCACAGGCACTGCTTCCAAGTTCTCGGCGTCCTTCCATTCAGCCATCTTTCGAGACGACCTGGTTTTCGTGGGCAGCTCTGGTGCTTGCAAAAAAGGGTTGGCCACACTCCTCCCCATTTTCTTCCCCAGCTCTTTTTCCACTTCTGAAAAGGAAAGAGATAAAAGAAAAAACTTGGACCAGATTTAAGGCCAGATTAAACAGCCGTTTTGCAAAGCCACGAAAATTTTGGGCTCAACTGTGATCGTAAGTTCAGGGCTGCCTGTAATGAGGTTTTTCTCAAGAGGGAAAGACAGTACAGCAAGCCAAATATTAGCAGCTGAGACAGGATTCCAGGTACAGATTAGCTTCTAAGTGGGGGTGTTAGAGAACTTATTTTTGCCCTTTCTGCACTCAGAATAAAGACTTAACTTATGTTGTGGCATCTCCGCCAAGGAAGGAAGGAAGGAAGGAAGGAAGGAAGGGAGGAAGGAAGGGAAGGAAGGAAGTAACTTGGGTTTTCCATTGCAAAAAAAAAAACAAAAAAACAAGAATTATCTGGAGGCACCCACCATCTGAAATGCTGGATTCTTGAAACATCGTCTCAAACGCTTGATGGATTTCGGCAAAAGACGGTCTGTCTGAAACACTCCACTGCCAGCCTAAAGAGAAGATTGAGAGAGCAACTGGTGAAAAATGCAAGAGTGAACTCTAGAAATATTGTCTTTCTCTCTCTCTCTCCCTCCCCCCTCCTCTCTCTCGTTCTTACAATGACAGCGGGAGGGACGAGGCTGCAAACTTCTGCTACTCTAACCTTATAATAAAAGTACAGCATTCATAACTTGCTTTCCTAGTTTAGTCTACCTTGAAGGGTTGGCATAAAAAAGCTACAGGTGTGGGGCTGTGGGGGTTAAGGAAGCGGAGCGCAAACTCACATTCCCTCATGAGCTCGTAGACTTTTTCGGGACAGCCCTCCGGGCGCTCCATGCGATAGTCCTTCTCCAAAAGTTCATACACTTGCGACAGGTCAATCCCAGGATACGGGGACATGCCGTACGTGGCGATTTCCCAAAGCAAGACACCAAAAGCTGTCAGGATGGACAGGAAGAGAGTGAGGCTCGCTCCTTGTTTATATACAGTAGCTCTGAGCTGGGCTGTTTTCTTGCAGACAAGGTCCCTTCCAACTCTCTTATTCTGTATTCTTACCCCAGACGTCAGATTTGATGGAGAATTTGTTATAAGCCAGGCTTTCTGGCGCGGTCCACTTGATAGGGAACTTAGCTCCAGCGTGGGCGGTGTAAGTATCACCAGTCATCAACCTGCTTAAGCCAAAATCAGCCACCTTCACCAGGTGATTCTCTCCTACCAGGCAGTTTCGGGCAGCGAGATCTCTGCAAGGGCAGAAGAAGAGGGCTGTTAAGAAAAGACCAAGGGAAACAGCTTAAAAAATATTCCAAGGGAAAGCAGGAGTAAGGTTAAGAACGTGCGGAGCAAAGGCAAATTAAAACAATGCTGAAATAAGTTTTAAAAAATGCTGAACTTAAAAAATCTTCAAGAATAGAAAGATATAGAGAGGAAGATAACCCAGGTAGTATGATTTGCAGTTTGGATAGGTGATACATTAAACAGGGAGATATAAAAATGTTAGAGAGAGACAGGGTAGTATGGATGGATAGATGGATGGATGGATGGATGGATGGATGGATGGATGGATGGACAGACAATAGACAGAGAGAGATAAATAGATGTGATAGATTGCACTGGAGTGCGGAGTCTATACTAAAAAGAGGAGGAGGATTAGTTGACAGACAGATAAGGAGATGGATAGAATCCAGGGAAAGACAGATTAGACAGACGGAGAGATAAGACACATTGGTACACATGAGAAAAAAAGAGACGGTGTTAAAGATCCAAGGACTCACATTGGTTGGTTAATAAAAGAAGTTATTTTCATTGAGAAGGTAACATTGAGAAATGGCTAAAACTCCCTAAAATAAAAGAGAGAGAGAGAATCTCTCCACCCTACATCACATTAAATTGGACACTGATCCAGGGCTTCTGCTTTTTCTCACACTGGAAGATCTGTCGGAGAAGTTCACTTTGCCTTAAGCAGGAGCAAAACAAGTGGCAGTTCTGTCATTCAACATGAATGACATATCCCCGAGGGCACTTCAATTTGTCCTGCGTTGTTCAAGCACAGCTTCTGTTCTTCCAAAGTAGCACCACTAATGGGAAACAGCGCCTCTTGAAAGGGTGAAACCTCAGATGCTTGAGGTCCTCCAAGAAGACATGGGAATTTGAAAACCATCGCAGGTCAGAAGACACAAAATACAGAGAAAATACCCCTATCTCCTCCACAGACGTTCTAGAATTTCCAGATCTTCTAAGGTTTCACACTTAGGCAAGAAAAATAAAATAGGGGGTACCTGGCGCCACAGCAGTAATTGTGACAGAGATCTAGCGATCCTAATGGACAGGTCACTTAAATAGGAGCCCGCCATGTGCTGCAGCTGCCAAAAAAGCTCATACAATCCTACCCTGCATCAACAGAAGGATAGAGTCAAGATCACGTCAAGTGTTAGTACTACTTTATGCAGTCTTGGTAAGACCCAACGTGGAGTACTGCAGCCAGTTTTGGTCACCACGGTACATAAATAATTTTGAGAGCCTAGAAAGAGCACAGAGAGGCCCAACCATGATACTAATAGCTTTGGAGGATAAACTATTACGATGAACAGTTACAGGAACTGAAGAGAAGGACGAGGGTAACAATATTTGAAGGGCTGTCACATAGGAGAGAGGGTCAACCTATTCTGCAAAGCGCCTGAAGGCAGGACAAGAAGCAACCGATGGAAACTAATTAAGGAGAGAAGCAACCTAGAACCAAGGAGAAATTTCCTGGCTGTGAGAACAATTAATCAGTGGAACAACCTGCCTCCAGAAGTTGTGGGTGGCCAAGTTTTTAAGAAGAGATTGGACAACCGTTTGTATAAAATGGTACAGGGTTTCCTGCCTGAGCAGGGGTTGGACTAGAAGATCTCCAAGGCCCCTTCCAGCTCTGTTTTTCTGAATGGTGCACGGTCTCCTGCCCGAGCAGGAGGATGGACTAGAAGATCTCCAAGGTCCCTTTCACCTCTGTTATTCTGTATGCTCTAGAGAGCCATGGGGTTTCTCACATTGGAGAAACCAGGGCATGGGCTTAACAAATACCAGTTTTCAAAGTCAGAGAGAAGCATCTTGGCAGCATCTACCTCCAATGGAACAGAGTCCCAAATTTAGCTTGGCAAGCGGGGGGGGGGGGTGTTAGGGGAAAATGACATAAGAAGGAGACTTCCCCCCCCCCCTACTGATGGAAGAGTGGATCAAGTCTCCCGCTAGGCTTTGCTATTAGGGCGATCAGAGACCATTTCCCCAGACAAAGAATGCAAAGCATTAACGGTAATTGCAGCTGGCTTAAAGGTCAAAATCCTCCAGACGGGCAGGACTTGCAAAGATGGTTAATAGAGAGTGGGAGACAGATAAAGCTCAGACAATAAAGAATCATGAAAGCCAGGGATGACAAGGTGAGTGAAAGATGGACGTCATCACAAAGGAGCTTTGGAGGGAGAAGCAGCCCAGGAAGAATAAGAGAGAGAGAGAAAGAGAGAGAGACGAAAAGAAAATGGAGAACTTCATAAGGTCTTCTAATAGAAGGAGAACAGGAGGGTCATTATGGGCAATTTGGTGCCGTTCCTGGAGGCCCTTGGCCGGCTTTGTCTCACAAAGAGCTGTGATGAGTGAGGAAGATGGTTTCACCGCCAGCCTTATTGCAAAATCACAAAGGCACCCGGAACGGCGGCTCACCTCCGCTGGGCAAGACACAACTGGGTCAGGGGAGACTTTCCAGGGGTTACGAACCCCTTAACAGATGCAAACCGAGCCTTCGCGGTTCCTCTCCGGCGAGCATCTCAGGAAGGTACCAAGGGTTGTGGGACACTGTGTAGAGGTACGCAAAGATTCAAATATTGGGCCCATCTTGGGTCAAAAAAGGAGGGGGTGACCATCAATTTCAGCTGATGTGTCACCCTAAATGGGTTTAGCCGGTCCCACTTGGTCCAGGCAAAGAGGCTAGCTGTGGCCCCTGGCTGTCAAGAAATTTTGACTGGTGGGATTGAGGAGGAGGGCTTTTTCTGCTGTGGCCCCTGGAACAAGCTGGTGTTGGAGGTGAGATCTGCTTCCACCCTCCTGGCCTTCGGAAAGAATCTTCTGGAAGGGAGAGGAAGACGGAGAGAAGGGAAGGGAAGGGAAGAGGAGGGGAGGGAGGGAGGGAGGAAGGAAGTCTGGGAATGGAGCTGGCATTCTCTGCCCATCCTACCTGTGGATGAAATTCTTCTTCTCCAGGTACTCCATGGCAGAGGAAATCTGGGTGGCCATGTAGAGAAGCACAACCGCGTTCACCTCTTGCCGGCTGCAATCCCGCAAGAAGTCCAGCAAATTCCCGTAGGTCATGAACTCGGTGATGATATAGAACGGGGGCTCCCTCGTGCAGACCCCTGCCAAGCAAGGCGGACAGGAGTCAGCCAGGACAGAAGCTCAAAGGGAAGCCTGACCGACCTCAAAAGCTGAGCGCGAGAAGGGCCCAAAGCCAGGCCTTCCCAGATAAGACACCGAAGCTTCGGGCCCTCCGTAGATGAAAGCCACCTCAGAAGAATTAATTAAAGACCTTGCTCTGCTTTTTTATTTTTTTTTTTACTTTCCCTCCTTTTTAGTCATCCACTGCCAGCCCGTCAAAGAGCTGAAACGTCTCGATGTGAAGCTACGGTGCAGTAAACGGCTCCTTTGCTCCTTCGCCTTCCCGGTGCCAGGCAAGGGTCTCCGGTGTGCGCGGCCATGCTCGGGATTTATGTCACTTACCCAGTAATTGCACCAAATTGGGGTGCTTGATTTCTTTCATGACAGCGGCTTCTTTCAAGAATTCTTCTACCTCCATGGTGTCCTCCTGTGACGAGAACAGAGGGGGAAAGAAGGAATCAGGCCTAAAGGCTGGTTGCTGGCGAAAGAAAGCTATGCTCAGCACAATCAGTAGAATACCTTCCTTCCTTCCTTCCTTCCTTCCTTCCTTCCTTCCTTCCTTCCTTCCCTCCTTCCTTCCTGAAAGAGACTAGCCCAAAGTTACCCAGACAGCTTTCATGCTTAAGGTAGGACTAGAACTCACCATCTCCCGTTGATTGGTTCAAAGTCACCCAGTTGCCTTTCCTGCCTAAGGCAGGACTAGAACTCCCAGTCTCCTGGTGATTGTCTCCAGGTCACCCAGCTGGCTTTCGTGCCTAAGGCAGGACTAGAACTCACCGTCTCCTGGTGATTGGCCCAAAGTCACCCAGCAGCCTTTCAGAACTAGAATTCACGGTCTCCTGCTTTCTAGCCTGGTCCCTTAACGCCTAGATCAAACTGGCTCTCTATGTTTCTCTTGAAATTTCTCCACCCTTCTTAAAGTTGCCCTGCCCACTTCGCTTCTGCCCCTGTCCCAATTCTTTGCCCATCTCCGATCCTAATGAGATTCCTGACCCTGAAGTAACCAGGATGAGAAGAAAGGACAGATCATAGGATGGAATCCTTGCCAATCAAAACAGCTTTTCCCTTTAATTTTGTTCTCCCAAGGATAACATGGAAAACTTGAAAGAACATGTGATGCACTTGCAAAGGGATTGTTGGGGTGGAAATAACTCCCCTTCCCCAATATTCACTCAATTCACATCGGTGAAAACCCTTTTTTTTTCCTCCTTTCCTTTTTTCCAGAAATTTCATTATCGAGATTGTTTTTCTTGTTTTAGGCCTGAAGTGCAAAGATGCAGGGGAAGTGCAAAGACACAGCCAAGCAAGAAACACCAGTAAAATCAATCCAATTTCGCAAGAAACGCACAAACACCACCAATTTTCCCTCTGCCCTGTTTTCTCCAGCCCCCTAATCATCTTGGTTGCTCTTCTCTGGACTCTTTCCAGAGTCTCAGCATATTTTATGTATCGTGGTGACCAAAACTGGATGCAGAATTCCACTTTCAGGAGAGGCATGAAATTTTCAACAAAATAAAAACACAGATCTGTGCAATAAAATCTGTGAAATTAGAAATTAATTGGGGGGGGGGAATAAACAGTAATCTTTGAAAATAAAACTCACCATTACACACACACCCAAGCATTTCTCTACTATCTTGGGTTTTTCTGCACATTTCCATTTACTCCAGCAGACAAAAAACTGCATTGATATAACATACAATAGGAAAAGAGCAGAACTGTGGGAGGGCAGCTCAGAGTCTTAAAAGGACTATTGATTTGAAAATATAAGACAATCAGACCCACAGCCTATTTATTCCAGGCTAAGTAGCACTCTTATTAGTTTACCAATGAGTTTGAAAACGTTGCATGCAACATTGAACTGCAGTACCCCACTTTGGATCAAATAACCCAGCAATTCATAATTTGATCCTCGAAGCACTGTAGAATCTTCGTTAATTCTTTTTCCCCTGCAATGAAGCTATCTAATCCTTCATGAGGGCCTTTCCTGGTGATGGCCATTACTCCAGAGCATGCAGTTGTAAAAGGGAGAAAGGAAGGAAGGAAGGAAGGAAGGAAGGAAGGAAGGAAGGAAGGAAGGAAGGAGGGTAGACAAACAAGTATCCTGGTATCACTGGCTATGTTACAGAGGATCAGTAAGGGAGCATATTTCAATCTTAGTAAAATTCAGATGTGTGGACTTCATTTCCCAGAATTCCTTGGCTTCCATAGCCAGTGATGAGAATCCTGGGAGTTGAAATACACCAATATGGACGTAGCCAAGGTTGGCAACCCTGGCCAACCTTGGCTGGGTTTATACCACATTCTGTTCATTTTACCAAATCTAGAGCGGCTTGACTCCCACATAAACCTAAGCCATAAATTATGGTTTATAAAAGCATGTTGACCCAAACCCAACCCAACCATCATTTGGCTTTCCTCAGGGTGTGAACCAAGCCACAATGATGTTGAAACAAACAGAGTCAACTCACAAAAAAACAGAGACTGGAAGAAAAATGGAAAAAGAAGAGCTAAGGATCTAGGTATTAGGAGGAAAAATTAAAATATGGACGAGATCTGGAATGGGGAAACTGAGGCAACCAACAAAATCAACATCGTTCCCAATTGCAAGGAAGAAGGAAAGTCGCCATCTTGATCTAAAAATTACAAGACTTCCTTCCTTCCTTCCTTCCTTCCTTCCTTCCTTCCTTCCTTCCTTCCTTCCTTCCTTCCCTGGATCCAGACTACAGTCCTCAACTTACAACCATTTGTTTAGTGACCATTCATAGCACTGAAAAAAGTGACTTATGACCGGTTCTCACACTTATGACCGCTGATACATCCCCCCCTGCAAAGATTCCTATGCAGAAAACCGAGCGAGAACAGCTCTTCCAACACATCCCCGTGCTTCTGCTCTCTCTATGTGTGTGGGTGTGTGTGTGTTGGAGTGTGCTTGTTGTGTGTGTGTCTGGGCAAGCATCCCACGCTAATTGAAGTCTTATTTAAGGGCATCACCGAGCTAAATGTTGCGAGGAGGAGTATTGAACAGGGCAGTGCCAGCCATCATTTATCTCTCTGCAGAAACTACTTTGTCAAACCAGCTCTCTGTGGCTCCCAGCAACTCCGAAAACAGGATAATAAATAGTCTGCACAGGAAAATAATTAAGCACCAGCCGAAGTCCAGTCGGAACTGCAGAGGTGGCTTCCTTCCCACTGTTAGCTCAGCTCGGAGAGCACCCTTGCTGGTGGAGGCAGTCCAAAGGAGACTGTCCAAGCCATTTTCAACAATTTCCTCCGCCCTTCTCATGAAGAAAAATTATAGTTCTCAAGAGCTTAAGTGGGTCTCCCCCTGCTGGCTTCTGAGTAGGGAGACGAGGGGACTGGAAAGGCTTCCGTGCTTTCTTGACTCCAAAGACCCAGCCATAATCTTGAACGTCAAAAGGCTAAATTGACAGGTTTAAGAAAAGTGTGTACAGGGACATTCTGTCACTAAGTAAGAAGGTGATAAGACCTGAAGGAGCAGGTTGGGGGGCAGTTCCTCCTGGAGAACACATATGGAGTGGCTAAGCATTGACACCAACTTGGTAGCGTGTAATCCATCAATGGGTCAATGCAAAGAGGGAGCTCCCTTTGAGGAGTCCATAATGTTGGGAAATCTGGAAAGAAAGAGAAGAAGAAGACAACCAACAGCAAGTGGTTGGACTTCATTACAATGGAGATAGGGGCAGAGCTGGAAGACCAGGATGAAGACCGATCCTCCTGGAGAAGATTTATCTATGTGTCCCTAATAGTCCATAGCAACCTGACATAATCAATCAATGGATCAATGCAAAGACTCAGCTCACTTTGAGAAGTCCATCATGCTAGGAAAGGTGGAAGGAAAGAGGAGAAGAGGATGAGAGACTCAGAGGAGACACAGTTACAGGGCTGATGGGGGCATCATTGGAAGACCTGAAGGACCAGGCTGGGGACAGATCTTCATGGAGAAAACCTATGGCTGGATGGCCCATAATCAGTCGTCATCATGGACAAACTAGATGGTTGCTAAGAGTTGACATTGGATCAATGATACCTGATCAGTCAATGAATCAATGAGAAGATGGAGAACAAGACGATGACCAGGTGGATGGACTCAGTTACAGTGGTGATAGGGGCATTGTTGGAAGACCTGAAGGACCAAGTTGGGGACAGATTCTTGTAGAAAAAATTATCTGTGTGGTCTCTAGGAGTCAACACTGACCTGATGGTAGTCAATCAAGCCATCACTTTCTATCTGGCAAGCCATATAAGCCCATACAACCCATACAAGGCAAGACAAGAAACAATGGATGGAAACTAACCAAGGAGAGAACCAATCTAGAAACAAAGAGGAATTTCCTAACAGTTAGAACAATTGATCAGGAGAAGGGTTTGCCTTCAGATGTTGGGGGTGCTCCATCATTGGAGGCTTTCAGAAAGAGACTGGACAGCAGGGTCTCCTGCAGAGCAGGGAGTTGGACTAGAAGACCTCCAAGGTTCCTTCCATCTCTGTTATTCTGTGTTCTAGGTCTCAGATATGTTCTAATGCTGGGATGGATGGAGGAGAACAGAAGAAGACAACCAGCAAGAAGGTGGAGGGACTCAGTTGCAATAGGGATGTGGCTACCATAGGGAGACTTGAAAGAACAGACTAGGGATAAGAGATTCTCCGGGAAAAAATTCTATGTTTTTACTCACTAGGAGTTGAAAATTGCTTGCTGGCATTATAATCAATCAATCAAAAGTGACAGGGGAGAGGGAAAATGTGAAAAGATGAGTTATCTAAGAGTTAGATAGCTGGGTGCCAGAGGGAAAGCAAGACTGCCTTGAAAAACAAGAACCCGGTGTAACATTTTACGGGCTCATTTTTTTTTTCCAGGGACAATTCAGCAAACTCGATAAGTCAACAGCGGCCCAGGAAATCTGGTTCCATCCCCACAACTGGGCACCTTTCAGCTTCTACATCAGAATAATCACTTGGGCTTCTTGATATATTGTGCGTGAAGATGCAGGGAAGACAGATATTGAAATAAAGTGGTTTTTAAAGCCATTTTTGCTCTATCACCAGTCACCCTTTTCTTGGGGAAAATAGATGCTTTCCTAGAGGCGCAGCTTCCGGGGAAGAGATAAAAAGCTGTGATGATGAATGCAACGCTTGTCTTTCGTGCTCAGGGGAGAACTGGAGGCAATTTGGAGTAATAAAGAGATTGGCCAGATTTAATGCCATGAAACCAACTGTAGTCCTCAACTCCAGTCAGCCCAAAATTTCTGTTGCTAGGCGACGGTTAAGGGAGTGTTGTTGTCCCATTGCCACAGTTGTTAAGTGGATCGCTGCAGTGGTTAAGTTAGTAACAGGTTGTTAAGTGAATCTGGCCTCCCCACTGTCAGAAGGTCGCAAAACGGGATCGCCTGACCCCTTTTTTTTATCCCTGCGTAGGAGCAAAACTCTCCATTGTTGAGTTGGCCCTTCTTCTAGCATTAGCCAAGATTCCCGGTTAATAACACTAGGTGGCGCGATTTCCCCACCGTTAATTTCAAACGGATTTAGGGTTAAGGTTTGGATGGGGCCTCCTGTGTGGGGGGGTGTTCTTGTACTTAGAATGGCTTAGAATAGAGCTGGAAGGGACCTTGGAGGTCTTCTAGTCCAGCCCCCCACTCGAACAGGAGAATCTATACCAGGGATGTCAAACTGCCGGCCTGCAGAGCCGCGCCCGCCCCATTGCCGGCAATGGCAAAAAAGCTCCGATACGTTGCGCGACGTCATGTGACATCGCGAGTTTGACATGTCTGATCTACACCATTTCTGATTTCTTTTTAAACTTAATCGGCTTCATTTGGGGGAAGATCCAAATTCTCTCACGTCCCTTCCTTCCTGTTACCATTTTTAAAACAGGAAAGAAGGAAGGATTTGGATCTTCCCAAAATTTAAGTGAAAAAGGAAATCAGAAATAAATTCACAAGAACAAGAAGCCACCACCCTGAGGTCCCATCCAAAACCTTAATCCTAAATCCATTCGAAACTAAAAGTCAGCTACTGACTTCACAACTGCAGGATTCGCTGAACAACTGGGGCCAAACTCAGTTAAAGACTGTCTGGCTTGGCAATGGGAAATCTGAGCTCAATTGTGGTTTGTAGGTCAAGGAAAACCTGTGTTCTCCAAAACATTTTGATGGGTTGAATAAGCTCAGATATTCCTCTTTTAGTTCATTCAGTGTTTTCTGCAGCAACGCAATTCCCAGCTGATGGGAGGAGCTGCTCCTGCTTTCCAAGTGCAAAATCTCTCTCTCTTTTTTTTTTTATTGATCATATTTTGTGGTTGCTCACACCCACGACCCAGACCAGAGTATGAAAGTATAAAATAAAAAAGAACCCAGCCATTAAAAACAGCTTGAGATCCATAATTCACGAGACAGGTTTCTAAAAATTGCCTAAAGAAAGGGGCTAGGAGGTATTCAAAGCCTGTTCGAAAAGGAAGCGAAAAGCTATTATGCAAAATAACGATGATGATAATAATAATAATAAGCGACATCTTTTAATCCATTAATTTCAGCCTCTCCTAAAGGTCTGGTCGTTTATAAAGGCTTGGCGGGGATCGAATGCAACTGAGGATTTAAATTGAAGACTTGCCCCTCTTACCTTGAGGGTCTTTACCGCCACGGTGAGATTGTACTTCTTCCAGACGCCTTCGTACACCTCTCCGTATTGCCCACCCCCCAGTTTGTGCTTCATGGTAATGTCCGTCCGTTCGATCTCCCACTTGTCGTAGTTGGGGGACACGCCGTAAATGGTGGGCTTGTTCCTCTTTGGAGCAGGATAATGGAGAGTGATGATCAGGCCATCAGCCACGGTCGAGTGGTGGTGGACCAGCTCAGCCAACGTGTTGAAGCGGCTTTCTGAAGAGACGTAAAGCTAGAGAGAAGCACAGAGAAAGGTCTTCTGAAGTTACGCTTCTACGTGAAGGTGGGGGTGACCATGATTGAGCCACAAAATTTCTGTTGCTATGCGAGACGGAGGTTAGGCTTGGAGGTCCTCCAGGAGAGCCTGTCCCAAGTCAGATCCTCCAAGTCTTCTAGTGAAGCAGTGTTTATTTCCCCTTGTGTTGTCACTGCCTTCTTCTGGACACGTCCTCAGCCCTGGGATCTCCCGGTGGTCTCCCTTCCAGCTACCAATGAGGTCAGCCCACGGGTAGCTTTCCCAGAATCCGCCAAGATCAGGCAGCTCCTAGGCAGGTTCCCACTTATAAATAAATACAGGCCCCTCTTTGCAACCAGAAGGAATGGCTGCTCTGTTATACTATGATTAATTCAAGGCAGTCGAAACGATTATCAGTGGCCAGAAACTGCAGCCGGGCAAAAACAAATTATTCATCCATACACTTGTAGCGGCAGGCTCCCTGTCGTGACAAAAATCACTCTGAGAGATGAGGCACAAAAAAAAAAAAACCAGAAACGAAGAAAGAAAGAAAGAAAGAAAGAAAGAGAGAGAGAGAGAGAGAGAGAGAGAGAGAGAGAGGAGGAAATTTACATCCCACGGTCATCAGCCATGTTTCTTTCCTACATGAAAGTCATCTTAGAAGTAGTTACAATTCTTAGGGGGGGTTACTAAAAATAGTCCTTGACTTACGACTGTTTATTTAGGGACCGTTTTAAATTGCAAGGAAGGGAACTACGATCAGTTCTCACGCTTACGACCGTTGCAACATCCCCAGGGTCACGTGTACCAAAATTTGGGCCCTTGGCAACTGGCATGTGTTTAGGAAGGCTGCCAAACCTTCCAATAAGCCGATGGGCAAGCTGGATTCACTTAACGGCTATGTGATCTGCTTAACATCCACAGCAAAGAAAGGTCACAGGATGAGACGCTTCACAATGGTATCCCTCAGCAACAGAAGTTCTGGTCCCACTCGCGGGGGTTAAGCGGAGGACTGTCTACCTACAGCTCCTTCCTCTACAGCTTTTCGATAGGAGCAATTGAAAAAAAAAATGACAATTTGACCTCGTTTCAAATTCCTCCTCTGTTTTCTGCACCCTCCTGATCCTTTTGCAGCGGCTGCCTCCCGCCCCGATTCCCCAGCCTCCCAAAACAGCTCTATTTTCAGCACTTGCAGTTATTAACTTGCCCGATTAAATTAATAACGGCACGATCGGGGAAGATGCTTCGGGAGTGACAGCAAAGAGCTCCACCTGATTTCTCCCAACAAATCCCAACAGGGCCCAAGATACGATATCTATTTCATCAAACAACTTAATATTGTTTCGTACTGCAGGGACCATGATAATGGGGCCAACAAGAATCTAATTCCGCACAGTTTCCAGGATGGTTATTTTATTAAAAACAGAAAACCTCCAGCTGATAAGACTCTGACAAGGAGCCGGCGGATGTGGGTGCTAATGAATTCTCATCGCCGTTATCTCTTCTTGAAAATTCTGATTAAAACAACTGGGGTAAGAAAAGGAGCATTACTCTTTTCCACAAAAATTCTCCCCAGCCGTTTCCATCGAGCAAGGATGGACTGTCCTCTAGTGGAAAGAGAGCAGAAAGAAGCAGCAGGTGCTCCTTTGAGCAAAATTACACAAGGTGCAGGTGGTGGGACTCACAGCCATTAGAGACGGTCCTCGACATACAACGGTTCATTTAGTGATCGTTCAAAGTTACCGTCTTTTTGTGACCATTTTTCATGCTTACGACCGTTGCGGCGTCCCCCAGGATGACGTGATCAAAATTCAGACTCTTGGCAACTGACTCGTATTTATGATGGTCGCAGCTTCCTATGGTCACTTAACAACTGTGTGGCTAGCTTAACAACTGCAGCGATTCACAACTGTGGCAAGGTAGGTCGTAAAACGGGGCAAAAGCCACTTCACCTGCTCAGCAACAGACATTCTGGGCTCAAAATAACCTGTAGAGAGTTTGGGTTGATTTTATTCTACAAAAATAAGATCTGGAGATGCCTCCATCTGAAGCGTCCCAAACACACCAAGCTGGTCACTCACTGTGTGCTTGTGGAGGGTCAACGTCAACGGCACTCACCTTCCCATCCGAGGCGGTGTTGATCCGGTAGTGGTAGACCCTCCCCTCGTATCTCAAAGATATGGACCGCTGGCCAGGACTGCTCTCGCTTTCCCGTACCAGAAAGCTGCCATTGATCCCACTGCTCAGCAGATACTCCGCCGCGTTGCGGGACACCGGTCCCTGGTACCACGAGTGCTTTTCCAAGCTGTTCACGGGGGTGATGTAGTTGCTGGGGACCCAGCCTTGCCCGTTCTTCGTCTGGGCTTCGCACCATTCTCCATTGTGGTTGTAACCCAAGACTCGAAGTTTTTCCCCTGTGGGTAAAGAAAAAAAAACCAATCACAACTCTGAGAATTGTTGAATGCTACTTGGGAGCAAGTGGTTCACAGGCAGAGATTAAAACACAGCAAAAGAAGGGGACATTTGCAGTTCAGTCCTGGGTGTTCTCTGAACTTGAGGGTTTTCTTCCAGGCGTTTCATGACCCAACTAGACAACATCATCAGGGCTAGTGAGTGTGGCTTGCTCCGTATTTATATACAGTAGCTGTGAACTGGGCTGTTGAAGTGGAATTCCTTCCCCCAAATGCCACCCTTTTCTTCCTTCCCTTCTTCCTTCTGCTTTCCATTTTGAGGACTTACCTTTAGTGATGCTGAGTGTGTTGTCCCCGCTGGCTACGAAATCGTACAAGGCCACAAAAAGATTCGGATCATTTTCACCCGGAGCACAAAGGAGATTTTCCTTGGAATTCCAGCGGGCGGCTTCGCTCAGACTCTGCGGCTCGAACTCGGAGGCCACGGGCCGTTGAAGCGCTTCTGGTGGGAAGGGAAGGGAAAGAAGAGAAAGAAAGGAGGAGAGTTCATTTTCTCGTTTGAGGATCTGGAAAAAGCACAGCTGAGGAAGGAACCACGAAAGAAGGAAACGCTTTGCAACCGAGAAGTGAATGGGTCTACTGTGAGGCCTGCACAATGCCACAACTGCAGGACACTCAGTTCCCTTCAGGTGAACTCTCTTGCATTCAGTTCGAGGGGACAGGATGGGATTCCCTGGAACAAAGAGGGATTATTGGAGAATATGGTTCCATGCTGTCTAAATTCAACCCAGCATTTACAGTCTGAATTGCAGAGATCTGTATAAATACTTCACTGAAAAGAAAAGAAAAAAAGGGGCGGGGGAACTGTTATCACAGCCTCTTTTGGCTTGGTTTGGCTTTTGGTAACTTCAACATTTCTTCTCATAGACATTTTCTCTTTCTCTCTCTCCTTCTCTCTCTCTTTTTCCTCTCTCTCTCCTTTGCTTTTTCTCAATTCACCAAAACTGGAGGCACAATTACTAAGACTTTGTAGGGTTTACAATGGTGAGAAATGGTGGGAAAGGAACTCAGAATCACTCCATCCTGATTGCAGTAGGTATACGTTGAAGCAAAGATGGGCTTTGACTGATTTTGACCCGTATGTTGGCTTTTTTTTTTTTAAGTAGTTTATATTTCACTGTTTGGTGTACAGAGTCTCCCTCCCCCCCCCCTTTTAATCCATAATCAGCCCCACTTCAGGTAAAAGGAGCTGAACATTTAAAAAATAAATTCATAAAAGGGAAACTCTTTCATGTCTGCTCGGGTTCTAAGGCAGGAACTTAAGCATTTGTTCAACAAAGACTTCGGCTTTTCTGGCACAGCAACATCCGTGTGTTTATAAACAGGGAATCACCGTTGGGGCAGTGCAAATTGTTTCCAACTGTTTGCAAAGTGAGAGGTTTTTGATCCGGTTTCCCCCCACCCCACCCAACTCTTCAATGTTATGGAGGAACCACTAAGCAAGTTTGTTTTCTCTTTTCTTTCAGAGACCATCCACCTGGTTCCTTTTTCAGGGTTTAGCAGGAGCTGTTGGGACTTTTTTTTCTGCACGGGGAGGGGTGACGCATAATGCAAGTGAGGGGAGAGAGTTCGGGCTTTGCCAACTGGCCAGGTTGCGCTGCCAAAATCTTTCCTTCTTCCGGCCACTTAAGATAATATTTACCAGGTGGAATCAAGTGGAAAAAAGAATACAAACCAAGATTGGTGGAAACCACAAAAGGAGAGCTTGGTTAAGTGCCCTGGATTGGTATCTTTGGAGCTAAGCCAAGTCCTTTTTAGAAAGAAAGAAAGAAAGAAAGAAAGAAAGAAAGAAAGAAAGAAAGAAAGAAAGAAAGAAAGAAAGAAAGAAAGAAAGAAAGGGAAATATTGGCTCACCCAAGACACTAGCTTAAAAGCAGTTGGATGAAATCAATGGGAGTTGCTTTTAGGAAGCACGGCATTAACTAAACAAAAAAAATAAGGAGGTTAGAGGGATAACTTGCAGGGGTGTGTGTGTGTGTGTGTGTGTGTGTGTGTGTGTGTGTGAGAGAGAGAGAGAGAGAGAGAGAGAGAGAGAGAGAGAGAGAGAGAGAGAGAGAGAGAGAGAGAGAGAGATTCATTTTTAAAGGAGGATTGAGACGAGCTGAGGAAGGGTCAAAGAAGAGCAGGTCAGCTGGGATGGCCTTGAGGTCCCACAAGGGAAGACAGAGGAAACTGAGCGTGTTAAGCCAGCAAAGAAATGGGTGGAGATAGGATAACACCCTTCAGATGCCTAAAGAGGAAAAGTAGAAAATGGCTTAAATGTGCTCTCCACCCTCTCTGAGTTCAGGAGGTGGAAACACAATCTTAAATTACGAGTTGGTGGATTCATAATTTGTCAGGGTAAAAAATGAGAGTTCTTCAACAGTAGAACGAACTTTGGACGGATTCGGAGATTCCCTTTTTGTTGATTGTGTTCAGGTGCACAATGTAAAATAAAAGAATTGAAAGGGACCTTGGAGGTCTTCTAGTCCAACCCCCTGCTCAAGCAGGAGACCCTATACCATTCATTCCAAGCAAGTGGTTGTCCAGTTTGTTCTTAAAAACCTCCAATGATGAAGCACCCACAACTTCTCGAGGCAAGCCATTCCACTGGTTGGTTGTTCTCACCGTTAGGAAGTTTCTCCTTAATTCTAGGTTGCTTCCAATTAGTTTCCATTCATTGCTTCTTGCCTTGCCTTCTGGTGCTTTGGGAAATAGTTTGACCCCCACATCTTGGTGGCAGTCCCACTACAAAAGTGAAACAGATGCTGATGGCCTTCAAACAACCAGGAGATGGAGGCTATGGGAGATAACACCAATCCAAAGACTGCAGATCTGTTGGAAACCTTCTTGAATCTAATAAATATTTGTAGCTCAGGGCTGAAATGAGGGGTCATTGGTTCTCTCTGACCTTGGTTGTTTTCTTGCAGATGTTTCATTTTCCAAACTAGGTGCCATCATCAGCACCGGTAATGAAACGTCTGCAAGAAAACAACCAAGCTAAGAGAACACCAAGGATCTTCTTGAATCCATATGGAATCCCTAAATGAGATCTTAAGCAGGCTTCATGACTACATCAAAAATCAGATGCATTTAGTTCCTTCAGAAGACCAACATGCCTGTTGAAAGGAGTTAAGCGACCCACTCGGTCCACGTTCAAGGTCTAAGTGTATCAAACCCCAGATCCAAAATAGGAAACGTGATCCTTCTTCGTCCACTCAACCTTTTTTGGCAATCGCTAACCACAACAGAAAGTCGAATTTCCTGCTGTTTTATGATGATGGAAACCCAGCTCCTGGCTCTGGATAAGCACCAGGATTCCTCTGTGTACCTCCAGACCATCATTCCTGGCTTCCAAAATCAACAAAGGAAGGCAATGACTCTCGAGTAGAGTTTCTCAACCTTGGCAACTTGGAAGACGTGTGGACTGAGGAATTCTGGGAGTTGAAATCCATACCCCGTCAAGCTGCCAAGGTTGGAAAACCCTGCTCCACCTTTCTCCCTGGTATTGTTACACAGTCTCTGCCTCTTGACATTGGCCAAGTTGTGGAGATCTACAAACCAGGAAACTTCTCATAAATTAGCTACTAAGATTCAGCCTGGTAAGCGAGAGATTTGTTAAGTGGGTTTTGTCCCATTTTTACAAACTTTCTTGCCACAGCTGTTAAACGAATTGCTGCGGCGGTTTAGTTAGTAACCTGGTTGTAGTAACCCAGAATCTGGGTTCCCCCTTGACTTTGCTCGTCAGAAGTTGCAAAAGGGGATCGTGTGATCCCCCGGGACACTATAACCGTCATAAATATGAGTCAGTAACCAAGCGTCTGAATCTTGATCACGTGACCATGAGGATGCTGCAACAGTTGTAAATGTGAAAAAGAGTTCCTTTTTCCAGCGCCGCTGAACAGGACTACCTGGAGCTTGTGCTGGCCTTACCAGCAGGTGTGGCAATTCTCACTGCCGCTGGGTCTATCTAATCTAACAAAGAGAAGGATCAGAGGTGATTCCTCGGTGGCATGAATTGAGTATGGCCAGTCTGGAGAACAGACGGACTAGGGGTGACATGATAGCAGTCTTTCAATATTTGAGGGGCTGCCACAAAGAAGAGGAGAGGGTCAAGCTATTCTCCAAAGCCCCTGAAGGCAGGACAAGAAGCGACGGATGGAAACTCATCAAGGAGAGAAGCAACCTGGAACTAAGGAGAAACTTCCTGACCGTGAGAACAATTAACCAGTGGAACAACCTGCCTCCAGAGGTTGTGGCTGCTCCATCATTGGAGGTTTTTAAGAAAAGATTGGACAACCCTTTGTCTGGAATGGCACAGGGTCTCCTGCTTGAACAGGGGGGTGGATTAGAAGATCTCCAAGCGCCCTTCCAGCTCTGTTCTGACTGATTCCTAAAAAAATGGGCTGATTTTTCCAGTTTGGAGGGTTTTAAGGAACAAAATTAGTCCTTTAAGGCATCTGTTCTACCTTTAGAGGCCCCCACCTCAAACATCTAAAGCCAAAAGGGTTCAGTCCTTGAAGGTCATTATTTACAATCCTGCTTCTTAAGGCCCCCCAGGCAGACAGAGAATTTTAATAAAGCCTCCAGTCCCCAAAGGTCCTTCTGAGCCGATTGTGACTTAATCAAGAAACAATTGTGTTATATGAAGACCTGGCAGATATTGGAAGACAGCCGTCTTCTAACATTTGAGGGGCTGCCACAGAGAAGACGGGGGCAAATTGATTATCCAAAGCACCTGAAGGCAGGGCATTTTTTTCAAACTTTTTGGCTTTGGGGGAGGGTTTTTTTTGGCCATCTTTTGACACTCAAGCAACCACAGAGCTGACTGGTGGGAGAAAAATCACGTGCCCCTGTTTCTGCTTTCAAAACTGACAGGCCGAGAGGGAAAAAATAAAAATCTTGGCCGTCCTGATGTTTAAATTTGAGTGGAGTCCAGAACTCCTGACTAATCCACCGTTGAAATCCTGGAAAAACAAAAGTTATTAAGTACAATACCACGGGAAAGGGGAGGGGGGAAATTTCTCCTCAATTTGGAAAATACAGATGGTTGCCTGCTGCAAAAAAGGAGCAGAGTCACGATGCGATGAAGGGACTTCAGCAAGTCTGAGCGGAAAATATGTGATGAGCTAGAACAAAGATCTAATGGGCAACATTCCCCAGAAATGCCATAATTAATAGGATTAATCCCCCCCCCGTTTGCAAGGCAAATGTTTTCCTCATTCTCAACATGGACTGGGAGTTCACCCACCTAAATCCTAAATCTGCACAGATGGAAATCCGAAGGGAATATTAAATTTAGCATGGAAATATAGGAAACTAAAAGCAGTCATGGTCACAAACGAATTCTCCCTCCCTCCCCCCCCAAAAAGCCTTTTTTGGCCAGAATCATCGCCTTTTTCTTCCCGAGAGATGGAACTGTGTTTAAAAATTCTTCTTGGAAAATTCAAGTGATTTCATCCT